TTCGATCATGGATTGCAAGAAAAAAAACAAACATTTCGATCATGGATTACAAAAATTCGATCATGGATTACAAAAAATTCTATCATGGGTTACAAAAAAAAAAAACAAAAATTCGATCATTGATTCAAAAAAAAAAAAAAAAAAAAAAGAAGAAGAAAAATCCGTACGGGACTCACCGATTCCGTACAGTGAATCGGCGAGTCACTGTACAAAATCGTCCGGTTCTCTTTAGAACCGGACGATTCCCGTTTTTTTCACCGATTCGATCCGTTCATGGCGATTCCCGAGTCGAACCGGGCGAGTCCGGTTCGACTCGACGTTTTTTTAAACACTGGTTTCAACACTAAAAATACATCTTTTAATAAGATTTTGAGGTACACATTACCGTGATTGTTTAAGGTCGACACCCCTCTTAAAAAGGGAGAGTCGTTCATGAGCCATGGGACGCATGCGTCCCCTCATCCATCCATCTAACGTCCATCTTCTAAAAGGATTTTAAAAAGTACTTTTAAACTTTTTATTTTTTTGTTTTATTTTTTATATTTGAGAACTATGGCTTAGATCACGTATCTCAAAAGAATTAGATCTAAAATTCATATTTATGGTGGATTTTAGATGGGACATATGTATCGGCCCACTCGTAAAAGGGTAAGGTTTGTATAAGATTGCATCCTTATACTGTAGAAGTAGGCACACCTATAAAATTTACTTAGAGATGTTGTTTTGGTGTCTAATACCTTATGATGTTTCCAAAATCTCTCTTTATCCTTAGTTATAAAATTTAAAATTTGAAAAATGGTATAGATCAAGAAACACTTGAAAATCCTGAAAATAGCCGGTCCAGATAACAAGTTACAAGATGCACTAGTTTTTGGACATGAAATTCATTTTTTTCTTCATGTCCATTTATCTTAAGGTCGAGATGACCAGTCGGATGGTTCTCCTATGCCATAACAATCTATACTAGAGGAATTTTGAGGTGCACCTACTCCAACAGTATAAGGTTGCAACCTTTTATAAACTTTTTTCCTCATAAAAACCTTGTCCCACTTAAAAATGTCTTATGCTTCCTTTGGAGCATCCACTTCCTTGACAACACGTTTGATAATAGGTTAGGTTAGGCTGGCCCAAGATGGGTTCAGCCCAATCCTAACCAATGGGCCTAAGCTTGGGATAAGGGTCCTTGCTACTTGGCCAGCTTAGTGTTAATCTTGTTCAAGGAAGTAGAGCTAGCCGTACTGGTAATTTTGTGAAAAAAGGATATAAGTGATTGCAGGGTGAGCCTGGCTTTGCTATAGTCCCTGCCCTAGCCAGGGTAGGGCTAGTCCTGGATTTTGAGGTCTAGGCTCTAAAGTTGTTGGGTTAGGCCAACCGCTCCAATTTCAATTAGTTGAAGCCACCCTACATGGTTGCTCTTTATGATCACAAATTTTAGGGTATAACTTACTCAACTATGTGGCCAACTTCAAATAAATGCAAAGAAAAAGCCCTCATAAGTACCAAGAGAAAATAACATTTTGAGATTGAGGAGGGAACATTTAATTTTTGGAATGGGTCATTAGAGGTTTGGAAAATTGTCAATCTAATTCTACTTTGGAGGGTAACCCGGCTAATTCACTCTCAAAATCGGGAATTAGCCTGATTCTCTCTAGTTTAAGTAATGTTAAGTATTTATTATATTTTTTTAATAAAGAAAAATATCATATTATCCCCTATTTTTAACTTCTATATCTCATATCCAAGAATTGAAAATATTATTTGTTAGCAAAAAGACTTTATCTTTTTTATCTTCAACCCCCTAAACCCTTTTGACCATGGCTTATTGACCTCAACAACTTATGAAATGACTCTATCTCTTTATAACTTTATCTCTCTCTTACATTATCGTCTTTCTCTCTCTCAAAACTCCATCTCTCTCTAAGACCCAAACTCTACATCTCTCTCTCACATCATTGTCTCTCTCTCTCTCAAAAGTCTATCTCTCTCCCTAAAACTCAAACTCCATCTCTCTCTCTCTAAAACCCAAACTCCATCTCTCTCTCTCTAAAACTCCATCACTCTCTCTAAAACCCAAACTCCATCTCTCTCTCACATATAAGATCGTGTGCTCGTGTTCAAGCTCAAGCTAAACCCCTTCGTTGGTAACTCACCGAGAAGCGAAGAGGGAGATATGGAGTTTGAATAGGGTGTCATTTTAGGGTTTGTTTGGGTAAAAAATTTATGGTTAAAGGGGTCCAGAAGGTTGTAAGATAGAAAAGATGGAGACCTTTTGCTTACAAGTAATATTTTCAATTCTTGAGTCTCATGAGATATGGAAATTAAAAATAAGGGATAAAGATATATTTTCCTTTTTAATAATTCAAACTCTAAATCACCAAATAAACAGAAAATATAGCATTATACAACCTTTATTGTTTTCCTTTTCTTTTATAATTTTCTACTTGATCGCCAATTCAATATACACACTAGATTGGTCTAATGGAGGGCCAATCCCTTTGTTTCAAACCTTGGGTGCAACCCAGTGTAAAATATGTTCTTCCAGAAAAGTGAAAACATTTGCTGCTCTAGCGGAGCATACTATGGAGATTTGCTCACTTGGTTAACAACTCATTTTAGAAATATTTTTTTAGATCTAAAATTTGGGATTGTAATCTTAAGAACCTAGAAAATAATACTAAAAAAAAAACAGAACTCTCTATGTCCTTCAAAAAAACTTAACATCCTAATATTGAACACGAGCTGTCGAACTTTTGGAAGGCGTTCAAG